CCAAACGGAATACATCCGACTGCTCGTATATACGTGTACCCAAGAGACCATTTGTGTGCCACATGGATTTTATAAACGCTCATATCTCTGTGTACAAAATGCATATCTGTATGCATAAAGGAATATTGAGAAGAGAAAAAAAAAAAGCCACCGACCATCCAGTTTATACCGACAATTGTTTTTACCCGCATCATCCCACGATTTTTTGCCACCCAATTACACTTCCTCAATATTCAATAACGGTGAATAATTTTTTATCTGGAATTGTGCAGATAATTGACGGATTAATTAGAATAAGCCACGACGACAGGACAAGCCCCATATTTTCACTGCAATAATTTTCTCAATGCGCGGTAGGTCGCTATTCCAATCCGCGGAGAGAGATATCGCGAAAAAAGAAAAAAATAAAATGCTCCACATTGGTGGATTGACCCGAGCAGATAGTCGGAGTGCAGGTATCCCAGTTGTTTTTCAATCTCTTCCTACGTCTACCGTTGTCGTTCCGAGACCCTCAGGGGACACTTTGGTATAAACGCGTGGAGTCAGATGACGTATCGAATTAACCACCAGCTAGCCCATTGAGGGAACAAGTACGTGAGCATAAAGCCACCATTTCCTCCACCAAGTTTTTCATTATCTCCCCAATTTTTAACCGACTCCCCTGTTATTAACAGAATTCAATACAGCTGAGCATACCAGACAGAGGTACACATCAAGCCGAGTAAAGGGAACACGTAGCGTTCATCTAATTGACCACGATGACCACAAGCGGATCGTTGAGATCGTGATTTTTTGAAAATTTCAAATTCGTATTTGCGTTGCAGATGTGGTGAGGAACCAAGTGAAGGTAGTAGGTACAATCCAAGTATTGGCCCCCACATGTGAGAAGGCATTCGCCAACCCTAGGGGCAATGTCACGGCCACGGAGTATAATGTTTTCTCTCAATTAAGGCTTAATTAAGTTAAAATTAACATCGTGAATTCCCCTGCGTTTCTCCCTGCAACGTCTCATCCACCCGTGGGCCCAACAGAAAATCCACATCTTCCTCCCTCTTTATCTCTCCCCTCGTGCCTTCTTCGTCGCGAGAACCAGCGTGAACAGCACTCGCGCGTTCCCTTCGGCTTTGGGTGGCCTCAGCCACGTACAGCCACATCGAAAAGTCGATATTGCCTCTCGATGACTCCTTACTCTTTACCTCTTACCACTCCCCACACCACAATCATCATGATCATCCTAGATATCACATTTGAGATCAGCTACTATCACTCTGAGGACCACCAGATGTCCAAATGACTCGTTATCACTCGACTCAAGCCAAAACCTGCACTAATCATTTCATCGGATAATGATCCGATGTCGGCGAAATATCGATCAGAATCGATGCTATCCAACATCTGCGTGAAAGCAGGTGGCGAAACAAGAGAATCCTTAAAAATCAGATGAACCTCATCAGCTATAACCCCGATTACCAAGGGATTACCCAAATCACCATAACGATTGGTGGAAGGAAAGAATAAAAAGAAGATAACTTTTGCCAGTGAGTGTCCGAATGAGAGGCTGGTGGCTATCACCACCAGCGGAGGTGTCCTCCAACCACCATCACCCAGTGTACGTGGGGTATGGGTTATACTGGGAATCGAAAGCCTTCAGATAAACCAGGCTTCATTAGGGCGAGGATGATCAGACAACGCGATGTGCGCGTTTGCTACCTTCAAGTCCTCTCTCGTTGGCTCTTTTCTCCAATGAATACAAACTTGGTGGCTATACCAAGTACGACTTCTGGATATGTCCAAGCCAGAGTGGGAGGATTACCAGGGGGAGATGATACTCCTACTTGGGATGCTCGCTGATGTTTGTTGTGGCACAATGTGGCATCAGCGAGGCATCAGCGAGGCATCAGCGAGGCATCAGCATAGGTGAGAGAGGGATGAGACAAAGCAAGATGATACAGTCTCTCTTCTGCTTCAACTGATGATGTGTGGGGTCCCTGGATTCTGTGTATCCAAGCAAGGTGCAGAGATTCCCTTGTTCCCCAGTATCGCGTCGTCTATACGAATTATTGTAAATCGATATACAATTCGAATCGAAGAGGTGAAACAATACCTGAAGAGAATCACAAGCCACTCCTGGAATTGAATTTATCTACGAGACTGTCGACCCTTTGACTCCAATACCAAAATACTCCACCCTCATTTCCTTCTTCATAGTCTTCCCTCCCTCAACGTTATCCCATGGTCTATGCTCACAGGCCCATAACGTAACGATCAATTGAGGAAATTCTTCGAGGTACATCAATTTCCTCATTTCGAAATGTAGAACATCGACGATGAGGCAACCGAAGATAATACTAAATCCTGCGTCACCCCAGACCATTTTTTCACAATATATATATATTATTTTTTTCACCATTCGATCCATCGGTATAATTCTATTGTTTTCACGGACTATTAAGTTTTCACTGGTAAATGGTTGACTTCCGGTTGACAATGTATTAACCTTCTTCTCCCTTCCTCACCAACTGCGATCGCTTGGTTAATGTGAGTCAAGAGGGTGTTGTACCCACGGGGCAATTGGAAAACAAAAATAAGAATAAGAATGAAGAACACCTCGAATGCAGGAAAGGGTGCGCCACCCAAGCCTAATTCGGGCTTTAAAGAAGATTAAGGCGAGGCTGTCTCCACAGTTCCCGCACTTATTCTATCCTTAACCACCTCGTTTTCCCCGTACATTGATCAAAATCATCAAACTACATGACATCCGCTCCCACGTTATAACTTCAATCCAATAAATAATCAAGTCATTTCCCCGGATGTTAGCGTCATCAAACAGCATCACGAAATCGACATGTACAAACCCAAACAACAAGCATGAATTTCAATTAATCCACTTGATTAAAACGTTTCGAGCGATATTAATGGCGGACAATGTACTTATGCCGGTGAATTTCATCATTCATAATCTACATTCATGAACATAATCGAGCATGCAAATGCTCTGGTGTTTCTGCCAGAGTTCGCTGCATCAAGCAAACACGAAGTGCAAGAAAAGTATCAAGGTAATAGTGCATCGAGTGCTCTCATCCCCACTTCGTATCTTATCAAACACCCGCCATCCCCCTCCAGTCTACACTGCCCCCCCTCAAACCCCCCCACCAAAACTCAAAAATACCACGTGGTCAAGTGGTGGGGATTGGATATTGACCAGTGGTGGGGTATATCTGGGCAGTGGCCAACTGGTGGTTTGACTTCCACAATCAGGGATTCAGTGGTTGAAGTGAGACAAACAGACTCAATCCTTTGTCGGACAATGGCAAGAGTTGGAGAGTGACAACGCGACGTATTCGGCTCTCGTTCGTACTTTTTAATTTTTTTCTCTATCTTTCCCCCCCTTTTTTTTCCTCTCTTTCACAAAAGAAAGACAACGACCGAAGGGAGTTGAAACGAGGTTGGCTGGCGATAGCTCCGCCTCACATAACCGCCCACAAGTCACTATTGGCTCTGGAATTTGCCCGCCTCAAGGCTCATTTGTTTATTAATGTTGTAATCACCCGCGTGATCCTCTTTTGTCGTGTATGCCTCTTCTTCTTTAAGGCACTGGAGTTGCTCTCTGTACTTTTTATTTCTCCGTTTCTCATCGCTACTCTCTCGCTATTTTCTCCCCCATTTCTTCGTTTTTTTTTTTTTCGTTCTTTATTCTTGCTCTTGGCGGGGGGATTGTTCTTGTTTTCTTTATGCTCTTTATGCTTTTCTTATTTTGTTCTTAACGCTGGGGTTTCTCTTCTTCAAACGCGACGGACGGAATGCGACCAGCCTTCGTTTCGCTTCTTACTGATCTTCTCGCTGTCTTGCTCACTCGTTTGGAATTGGAAAAGGCCCTTTTCCCTTTGGTTTCGGGGGATATCGCGAAGGGGCTGAGAAATACGGGGGGGATAGCATGCAGATGCAGCTCTCAACAATTAATGGCGGATTATGAGGGCGTATTCGGAGAGAATTCGCGAGTTCGATTCCTTTATGATTGCTCTTCAATTCCTAATCACACAAGACCACTCACCCCGAAAATCTTAAATTTTATTCAAGCTTCAACTCATAAACTCATCTCAGAATAAATTAAATTTCACAATATCCCATTGCAATCGTTACTGGCAATTTCAAAGAATCGGTAACAGTAGGAAATAATTCCGCAAACTGGTATTCGTCTTTGAATATTGCGAATGCCTCAAGCTTCGAAAGAGAATGTTGAATTACCATCAATGTTAATAATGCAAAATAAAGTGGAATCAACCTAGCCAAATCCTGGGTAATAATTCCTGTTTGAGCGTTCGCATTTCACCGAGTGGAATTCGTCATCGGGCACTGGTGCATTCGAATTGTCTCATTACAGGGCGCGGGCTACTTCGTGAAACGATTGTACAAGAAATTCGAAAATTCGCGATTTCATACACCATTGGAATTTCAATTGTGCATCAATGGTGATGATAATTATCATTCGCTTTTTATTCTTCTGGGAGAATGGACAAGTGTTAAAAACGTTCAAAGACCTTCTCATTCAGATTTAAACCGAAGGAGAATATTTATAGCATCCATTGGACTCGTGACGGTATGTTTGTTTGTACTTGTCGTCGCGTGAAAGTGACGTTAAAATGGGTATGTGGGTATTTAGGGTGTTATATGGGGTGAGAAGTTTACATAAAACAGTTGATAAATTCAGAATATTGTGGAGAAAATATTTTGACGCCTGTTACCAGGGTCTAGTTTAAAATTATTTACATTATCCAGATTTTCCAACTGCTCCTCAACGGTTAAAAATTTTAGCTCGAGTAAACGGAAATAATTAAAATTAATGGACGGAAGCAAATACAGTGAATAAATTAAATTGAATGATGCCCTTCAGGTAAGGAGGAATTGAACCGATGGAAAAAAAAAATAGGCAATGCAGTTGGACCTTCAATTACATGCAACTGAAAAATCGATGACCATGAAATTGAAATTTTAACACTCACCCAACTTCAACTGCTCCCATTATTCTCCTTAAGAGGTTCAGGATTTTAGGGCTGTCTCGTTTGGCTCTTTGAGTTGGAGAGAATGAATGTGGTTCTCATGGTGTTGGGGAGTGTGTGACCTCCCGCGGAGTAGATGAGATTGTGAATATGTGGGGTGGGAGTTTTGTTGGCCAGTGTGGGTGTCAGGTGGTGTCATCAGGGGCTTCCAGGGAAGGTGGCCTCGTCACCTGTAGCAGTCGAGGGACAACAACCTCGAGAGGCTCATCTCGAGAGCCTGAAACAATTCAATTTTCATCGATTTTTAGCATCAACATCCAGAAAGACCATGCAAAACCTAAAAAATTATCATCTAAGATAAATCAATTTTCAATCCATTTATGTCACTCATATTAATTTCTCCTCGAAATTCTAATTAATTCACCGAATAATAATTAACTGAAAAAAATTTTCTTGTGTAATTAATTCACTGAGATTCGACTCATTAAGTATCACCAGACTGATTTTTAATCATCTGTTTACACGATAATCTCTAGAGGTGTCTATTCCCGAAGTGGATGAGTTAAAAATTGTAAATTTTTTCTCCACCTGAATAATTCATGAAATCAAGTGAATTGTAATGACGAAGTATCGGGATATTATTCATAATATGACCTTTATTATCGTTTGATGGATTTAATATTCTTGATTTAGAATGCATGGAAATGAAATCTGTAGATCCACTAAACCGATTTCAATGAAAAAGAGAGAGATGAATTTAAGAATAAAAATGAACTTCGTCATCGGGCCTCTGTCCCAAATGTTGAATTCCATTTGTTCGAGGGCGTGGCCTGTCCCACCGCTTAGTTGTTATTCCGAAATGACGAATCATAATGTATAATATGGGGCCTTTTTATTTCGAGGTGCGAGTGAGTAAATGGGACTACTCGGTATGACTTCGAGACTGCAGTGTTTATTTTTCATATTTCTTTTAGTTGGGTGGATTATGCAAATTGGGCTGGATGGATTTTAATTCTCAATGGGTCCAATTTCCAGGATCTAAATGACTAATTTTTCAATATCCCTCTACTATTTCATCATATACATAAATCTAGGAGATATTCCATCAAAAATGTAAATGTTTTGGTTTCAATCACGTGTGGGATGAAGAAAGATGGAAATCAGCACAGAAAAATAATTTCTTTTCAATGGGAAAACATCGAATTTATGTGCCAACTAAACTGTCAATTTTCCCCCCTTAAATCACCGAAAAAAAAAACGTAAAATTGAGGTAAACGTCACCGGCTCGTAAACCGCACGCCAACAATACAAATTGGTAACAGCCAGCCCCCCGGAAAAAAATCGAGAGCATTAAGGATGTATTTAGTGTTTGGTTTGGGGGTCGAGCGTGAAAATCGTCGATTTCCAAAAGTCCCCCATTTTCGTGGGCCCCCGATAGTTTACCTTTCCTCACCTATTTCTGAAAACCAATTGTTGCGAATCGTGGGGTCAGACACTTGCTGTCCCCCAGCGTGTGCCCACCCCAGTTTATTGACGCTCTTGTGACATTTTTTTCCCCTATTCCTTTTTTTTGGCTTTTTGACTTTGCGTCGTACCGTGAATGATCTATTTGCCGAGGCTTTTGGGTGAAATCTTGAAAGACGAGAAAAACCCCGTGACGAGGTGCGTCCGCTCAGCTGTTGTGACGCAACAATTTTTTCAAATTTGTAAACGGGAAATTAATGATAAAAGACGAGGATCGATGACAAAAAATGGGAGATATTGGGGAAAAATGAGAAGAACAAGAAGATTAGTGGAACAAGAATGAAGGCAATTTTCTGGATGTTTTACTTCTATTTCTACGAGGTCGGACGGCAAGTTAACAAAGCCCATAGCCTGTTTTCCCATCATCCAAAATCATCCAGCGCCCATCGGAATGACTCGGTTGATCCTATCCAAGATTCCATTTTGAATTTAAATTGGCGAAGTGTTGTCGAGTCATTCCATTCCCCCCTCCCCGAAAAAGACATCCAAAGAAATTTTTATCCACCCATCACAATCCCAAAAAGCCATCCGTTCAATTTAGTCCGAGGGGAACGTGGAAACAATAGTATTTATCTGACTCTATTGTCAGAGATTGCTTCACTCGTATCTCCAGCAGTCAGATATTTTTTTGACAGTGATATCGGTCAACGCCATTTCAATTTTTAATAAAAAAAAATAATAAAATGAATATCAATTGCCATTAATAGTTCAGTGAATACGAAAATAGAAAAAGCGACTATTTCAATTCCCGAATATTTAATATTATTTTTTTTTCTCCTCAACAAAACGATTTACTGAGAATCGTTTGAGCATAACACAGATACGGTCGACGACCGTATGTTTTCAACTCGCCGTATATCCTTTCCCGATTACGGAAGATTACAAAAGCAACATGACTTGGATTTATACTTCTTACTTCCATCTCCCTCTACATCGTTTTCCATATTTTTTTTTGTCTCCGTTCAGCCAACAACTTCTTTCTTTTGTTGATTGAATCAGAGCAAGTTCTAGGGAGTGTCACTAATATACCATCTGAATGTGAATTTCCAGGAGAAGGCAACGACTAACCACAGGGTAATACCGTTGAAACTGCCCGATAAGAGAGTGCGTGGGTGAAGGCAACATTACACCCATCTACTGAGTTCAAATTTCTGCAATCGGTGAACAACTGAAATTGTTGAATTTTTATCGGTTACAGTTGAGATATTGGGGCCACTATGGGGGATTTTATCTCTGGGGATTGAGGTGGATGACGTGGGAATTTTAGTCATTTCGATGGAGGAAGGGGCAGGTGACTCCCTGGGGAATATCACCTGTCTGAAGAATTCGGAAAACGTCTCAACTGGGATGAATTATTAATTTTTCCAGGATGAGCCTAACGTCTGTGCCTAACGGGGTGCCATCGAGTCTCTTGATAATTAAAAAATGAAGATTTCTTTTGAATTTAAACAAAACTTGTTTCAAAGACAGGAATATTTTTTGCCTCGACATAAATCCTGGAATATTGTTCATAACTAAAAAAGAACACGTGTCCTAAAATTCCCATAACAATTCGCAACACTCACCCCGGGTCCCCTATCAATACTTTCATCCTCAACATGCAAATTTCCCCGATAAATCAGTAAGACGTCAAAAGCAGTATTTCCCTGGTTCCAGCTGTCCCGAAACTAGCACTTCCCCCCTCCCCTGATACAAGGGTTTACCCATCACCTTTGCCAGCTCATCTCTCATTTCTTTCAAAAACACCTCTTTCACTGAATCGGACAATCAATGACTAAAGGCCAATGGATAGATCTAGATATTGGCGAGGCAACCAATACAGAACAGAGAACAAGCTCCAGCCAATGGTATCTGGTTCAAGGAACCCCAGGGGCTGCTGTGTTGTGGGGGCCCCAGTGAAAATAATTTGCATTGCAAATGAATACTCCGATCCCAAGTGCCACACACGCATTTCACTCGTTCAGAAAACTAGCCACCCTCTTTTGCACACCTTCTCGCCGTTCCAAACGATAGGACACACATGCAAAGTTCGATTATTTAGATATGCAGATCATCCGGTGAATATATTTCTTTTTTTTTTTGGGTGGGGGGAAGGGGGGAACAACTGGTGTGCGATGCTCTTTTCGGGGGGATTGGGCATTCTGGGTGTCCACAGTGACACGCGTTTCGGTAGCTCTTCGATTTTTTTTTATTCCCTGATTAATTCCTTCTCGAATTTTTTTGGGGACTCAGCTCTACGAATTTTTCCGGGGAACGCAATTCCCCGGTGCAGAGTTTAATGGCGATATGATTTCAGGTTTTGAAATAATTTATTTTACCGTTCAAGAGATTCTGAAATTTTCAGTTAAATCGCGAAGCAATTGGAAAAATCCCCGGATTTTTTGTATCGAATGAAATTATTTTTTTTATATTGTCACGTCCTTGAATATTTTTTATCGTCAATTTTTAATGGCATTATGTTAAAGTGATGTGGAAGTAAAGCGAGGGTTGTTCTTTCTGAAATGATTTTTAGATGATTTATCACATCTACTCACGTGTTGGCAGAAGAAAGAAATCAGGGGGGGATATCCATTCTCAAATTCCCTCGTTTGCATATTGACGCTGAAAAATGAAAGATTAAACACATTAGCAAGCTCGACACATTTGACAACAGAAAATGCGACTTAAAGTCTCAAACAAATTCCCGATACAACTACCAAAATAAAATTCTGCGTGAATTAGCTGAATTGAACAAAGCAAAACTAAAAAGGTGGAGAGAATTACCTGTGATCTTGGGAAATAAAAGACTCCCATGAATTAATTAGAATTCGACTTCGTTAGCCCCCACACCAGGATATATCTCTCCATCGTTCTCCGGATTTTCGGTCCACCGTTGAAATTTATTTATTTATTCCCCCCACAACAACAAGGCCCACTGATTGCCGCACACTGTGAGGCCCAATAAAAACTAATTAATCGTCTCCAGGTCGATTCCACTGGTGCACTCTTAACCTTTCCCCTTTATTTTTCTCTGATCTATCGTTTTTCCACTCGTCAAAAAATTCTACACTCATTTTTCACTAGCACAAACACTTTCACTTTATTATTTATCACTTTATTCACTGCTTACTTTAAGTTTAATTCTGTTAAACTGGCGTATTTGCTGCTTCGAACACACAGGACTGACTGGCGAATGACCAAAACACGATGTAAACACGAGACAATGACGTCACTCTCACTGGGATTTGTGTGAATTTACAAAGACCCTATTATCGATTTTCTTGAAGACTTTATATTGAAATAAATTATTAGTGGGGAGCCCCAACTGGAGCGTTTTTTGTTCCAGCAAAAAATTGAAAGTAATGAAAAAAATTTGTCAAGCATTTGTCTGAGGATATCGTGCTAATAACTGATTCAACAATTTTATCGAGAGCTTACATGAACTTGAATGACGGTATTTTTAACCCGAATATACATTAAAAATCGTAAGAGATGTTGAAATAACCCGAAATGAGAATTGACTTGAATCGATCGAGAATGCACTTGGCGCGTGTCAATCGATTCACATGCGACTGGTGAAACCTCGAGTGTCGTGGGTAATAAATTGTCGTGCCTTTATTTTCGAAAATCCTCGGAATAAATAAATAGTCGATGGACTGGGGACTGGAATTTATGGTAATGGTGACGCGTGTTAACTAACCTCATGTCCTTTTTGCTGTGCCACATCTGAGGGAGAAAATCTCACCTCTGATTCGAGCCCCTGACATTTATATTGTCCACAAAATACCGCCCGTTACTGTCTGACAAGAAAAATAATAATTGGTCTTCAATCGAGTACCTTTCGTCGCGATTTGTGCGTATGGATTGTCAATTTATGCTCTGGTTTTTTGTTTAATAATGTGACAAACGGGGAGCTCGCGACAACACGAAAAATTCGCCCGCCATTCCCTGAGGTTTTTGGGGAGTTTTGGGAAAAAAATGGCGGTTAGCGCGGGAACGGCGGTGGGAGAGGGAAGGGAGTGGGGGCTCTAGTTTCTTTTGTTTCTGTGGGTGAACGAATTTTGTTTATAAAAAAGGGAAAAATCGGTTTTTTATTGAGATTTTGGGGGTATCCTTCCAGTTTTTTTTTAGAGATTACCAGTATGGGGGAGAGGAAACACGGAGTGAATAGAATTTTTACTTTTTTAGCGGATTATTGGGCGAATTGAGAGTTATGGAAAATTTTGTTTCACCGTCAGAGGGGGGGTGACGGCTTCTGATGCGCTGTGAGGGACACGCAGTGACATGACGCCACGGGGGGAGGACGGAGGTAAATCCGTTGTGCTCGGGGTACAAGTGGTGAATTAAAAGTGTTTTTCCCGATTTTCGGGGATGAAGTGGTGAGTTTTTAGCTATCGAAACCGCGGGCGAATCGGGAGAACGCGATTTTTCAGGGGAAAAGTGAGAAATATTTTTTTTTTTCGCATTTTTGAGGCTTCGATGTGAGAATTGAGAATTGACTTTTTTTTTGTTTTTACACATCTCTCCACCGTGTAATTAATATTTATTTTCGATCTTGGGAGGGGCAGAGACGGTGTGAGTAGAATTTTGGATTTTTCAGTGGATTATTGGGCGAATTGAGAGTTTTGGAAAAAATTTTTTCGCCGTCAGAGGGGGGGTGGGAGGTGACGATTGTGATGCGCTGTGGGGGACACGCAGTGACATGACGCCACGGGGGGAGGACGGAGGGAAATCCGTTGTTCTCGGGGTACAAGTGGTGAATTACAAGTGTTTTTCGTGATTTTCTGGGATGAAGTGGTGCATTTGTGTTTATTGAAGCCCAGGCAGGACTGGGAGAACGCGATTTTCGAGAGGAAAGGTGGGAAATATTTTTTTTTCGCATTTTTGATTCTGTCGGTGTGAGAATTGAGAACCATTATCATTTTTTTTTCTCTCTGACGCAATAGCTTCGGTCTGTGAGATTTTTATAGCTTGTGAAAGGTTTATAGAATTAAATATTTAATAATTTTTTTTTATTTTTACAGAGTGATGAATATTTGGCGATAAATTCGATTTCCTGGGGAATGAATCCATCACCCGAGAGTCATTGCTGTGGAATCCAGTATTTGGAGTTTTCCAAGGGTGAGTCCTGTCATTAAATTATTTTTTTTTTCCAGAGTAATTTTTGCACCTTCATTAATTAATTATTATATATTGCCTCGTGTACTGGAACGCAATAAATCGGTCAAATGAAGCATCACAGATCGATATGGCATCCAAATCACGTAGCGTATGACACATATGCACCTCAAGGCATTTCTTATACCGTATAAAGTAACAAAATGTAATAGAGAGGAGGGGGAATACGATTCGATTCGAGGAAATCGCGGGAAAACATTGGATATAAGTTTCACGGTGTATTGCAGGATGAATATCGATGAGGACACACCGGATGCAACGTAGCATCCATTCATGAATGTTTTTTTTTTTCATAGAAAGAATGTTCATAATGAGAGAAAATTATTTATTGCTTCTCTCCGCGAGATATTTCACACATTTTCTTCGGGATATTCAACTACTAGTCGATCTCAATCTAGAGAATAAATTTTCCCGTTTTATCATTACGTTTATCTCGGGTTTTTACTGTCTTTGCGGATTATTTATTGGCAGAATTAAAAGGAGAAAATTTTGTGAGAAAGAAACCTAGAAACAGCCGATAAAATCGACAAAAACTCGTTAATTAGTGCAACCCACCCATCACTATCGACTGAAACTGTCCATTAGCGGTGTTGAGGACACAGAAAGCCTCAGAGGCATCGACAACGCTCTCAAACTCACTGGAGAGGTTCTTGACCGATCTGTCCTGTCATTGGAAACTGAAACGTGCTCTGAGGGGGCCCCATGTCCATGTTGTCATCATACCCGACTTTGAGGTTAGACATGCGTCCTAGAGGGTGCGTGTGCCTCACATTTTATCCATCTGAATTCTCGTGTCTTTTTTCTCTCCCTTTTTTCCCCCCATTTTTTAGTCAAGTTTATTCTCGAGATCACCATGGGCATAATTAGCCGTTGGGAAACGCACGGTGCTTTCACCTATTGGTGTGTGTCGCTGGTTTAACTAACAAAGGGAACGTAGAGACAATACAATGGGACGATTAGTGATACTTTGTACGCGCTTTCGACACTGTCCTTTCATCTGTCATTACTCGGGATATTTTTCTTACATTGAAGACTGTTTTCTCGGGCCATTGAATTTTTTGCCGGAGCCAATAAGTTTCAGGTTATGAGGACGGAATCCAGGCATTTAATTTTTTTTTATTCGTTACTATATAATAACGGAGGAAAATTAATTAATGAGGTCACACTGGAGGATGACGTCTGCGAAGTTAAAGGAATTGACAAGGGAACAATTATATTAGAAGAATTTTATAATCGAAGAAAATATTTCTATTATTTTACTGATTGCTTTTTTTTTCGTGGAAAACTGGGGCTTTAAAACTGGAATCAATGTAGGTAGATCGAGAAAACGAGTATCCAATGTGTTTCGTCTCGGTTCTAAAACGCGAAAAACCGGCACATTGAAATACACGTACATTAAATACACACATATTGTGGATAATACCCACTCCAACGTTCCATTTTATTGCCGATTGAACGAGTGGATAAAGAAAATAGGCCGGTAGTGGCTTGCATACTTTGAGAGGTGATATTCAACGAGCAGAACTGAATATTCAGTACAGCTCTATCATATGAAAATGAAGAAATTAATAATAAAGAGATTTCTCAATTTTTCAACACATACCTATCAATATTACGTGGCGTCTAAACGGTGCAATTTTTTTTATTCAGCTCTCGTTTTAATTTATGATTTATTTTAATGGAGAAATTTATTTAATTAATTCATTTCGATTGGAAATTTGGTATTCAGTCACATCCGCAATGCGTAACGGGATCCAGTCTCGATGCCAAATCGAAACAATTGTTTCAGTTCGTCAAAATAAACTAACGTGGAATGAAACGTTTGAGTGAATGCCAACGTATTACGGTTTCAATGGCTTCATTATTGTCATTTTTGTTTTCATCGGTGTGGCGGTTCATAATCGATATTCCCACGGAACGTGAATCGATATTTGTTGTTATCGGAGACATGCAATGGAATTCACTGCCGTGAGAAATTATTCGCAAGATGAGAAAATGGAATTTTTTTTTTCACTTCTGAATGGAAGTATTTTATTAAAAATTTCATTGACATTTTTATTCAATCCCGGTTTATGATTCGAACGTTTTGCAATTTTTATTTCGCAGTTTACGGAATTCATTTTAACAATTGATTTCACGTATTATAAAGGAAAAAGGAGGTGCGTTACGTGCTTTCCGTGCATGCAAGTGCGAAGGAAGTAGGCATTCCATTAAAATTCAATTCACGGTGATAAAAATTTTTGAAAGATTTTTCCCCCTCGATTCATTCATGAAATAAATTGAAATTCGTTGCGAAAATGATTTTTATGCGAGAGTTCTTTGCTTTTGTCCCCATATTTAGGGGATATTATGAACATTACAGTAAAATTGACGAGAAAAATTTCCTGCGATATTTTTCTTGGGGGATTAATAATTACTGAAATAAATAACAAAGATGTGGGAAATTCGCTGACTAGTCTGTTATACTCAACTATTTAATTCATTCGATACGTAGTTGATTATCGCCGGTTATTAAACTCCAATTAATGACCCCCATAACCAGTCCTACAAGCGAAACCCTCCCCCATGCACCGTAATTTCCGTATCACGTATTAGTGTGTGAATTGTGGATACAGTGGATCTCTTTCTCTTGGAATTACCACTCGTGTATTTAATACGTGTTATAGACACATATGATGGAACACTCTCAGGCGGATCCTGTTTCAAACCACAGAGATGCCAAGACTTCGTGAACAGCCTCAAATCCAACAATCCAATACCTTGACGAAATAACAATTTTTTCAATTACCCTCTTAACTTTTACGGTTTTAAATTCCGCGAAAATTGAAAGAAAATAATAAATAATTGACTTGTCAATTCCATTACTCCCGAAAAATTGGATTGTAAGAGAAAATTGAAGAAATACGGGGGGAATGTTTCAATGAACATCAGAGAAGTTCATAGAGAAGCTCGTAAATCGTGCATCGATGGCCTTACGATCCACATTATAAATCAAGCGTTGCTGAGGATTGATGCAAACGGTAGGGGCCTCACTACCACAACCACCTTTTTCCTCCCATGTTTTTCAATCCATCGGGCGCGGGTGGGAAAAAGAGGCGAGGTGAGGAGTGAGAGGAGATGAAAACACGCGGTTTGGTCCAGTGAACAAAACGGCTCTTTATGACCGCTTGCGGGCGTTATCCATGCACATGCATTGGACACCACAATTTATCCCCGATGTCCATCAAATTTTTTTTTCCGTAAATTTCTACACATAATTTCAATTTACAATTGTTGTACAATCAACGATAAAATATTACCCCGAAACTTTCTTTCTGCCAATTAAATTTTTTTTTATTGTAATCAATTGGTGATAAATTTATTAGCCACGAATATTTTCGAGAATGTGGGAATTCGTCAAGGTCGCAGGACGGGGGTCTCGTAAATTCTAAAAAAAAAGGAAAAAGGGGATTAATGGGGAGAGGAAGTAGTTCGGGGCTGGACGGTGTCCAGGGGTGAAAGAGGGAGCGTGAAGTATCCCACTGTGAAATTGAGCCGTTAATTCTTTCTACCTCTCGTCGCCACCGAAATTACCTCTAGACGGGGAAAATCAACAATGGGGGAAAGAGGGGCAATATTATGACAGTTTGTTCTTTTCGGGAACTTGAAGAGACACTCGAGTACCTATCGACCTCAATGTGTGAGATCAGCCGAGAAACCGATGTGTGAATTTTTTTTTTTTTCAATTTTTTATCGAAATAATTCCGATTTACACAAGATTTATTTTTTGTTGAGAGCGATAAATTTACGGAGTGGCAAAATTTCCGGGGGTAAATTACTATTTTATTTCGGAAGGGAAAGAAATGGAATCTCAATTTTTTATTCGCTTTCATCAATTTTTTGCTAGATTTTTTCTATTGTGTGATTTATTTCTTGTGGAGCTTCTAGTGATTTTTTTTTAACCGGATTGGATTGCAATGAAAAATCAATTGCCAACTGTCATTTGCTCATGAAATTTCAATTTTATTTTTGGTGGTGAGGATTCGCGGATTTTATTTGGGTCAGAGGGGGTAAATATTGGTGGTTTTGGGAATTATTAGTGAATTGTAAGTACAGATCTCTCATACGTAGAATCAACGAAAAATTGGCAAACTCGGGCGTCTGGAAGGGTGCTCATAAACTGTCAGACTGTAAATCACTGGGTTTTATGGTGGTTGCACGTTTGCCAACCTTTGCCTGATGAATTCCTTACTCGGCGGAACGGCTATTTCTCCCTTTATCCTTTTTTACAATATTTCTTTTTTCCCAACCCCCTTTCGTTTTTATTCTCCTCGAGACAGTTGGGCAGCGAAATAATGACTATTTTCCAGTTTAAAAAAATTCATTTAAATTCTTCTCACGAAAGAATAGAGTTATTAAAACATACGAATTTCTATAAAAATCTTTCAATTTTTGTCCGTAAATTGTATTTCTATCAGTCCCAAAAAATTGAGGCGAATATTTTTTGCAGGACTTTAACCACTCCCACAATATTAAATCCACAAATGAGAAAATGGTAATTTCGCGAGTTTGCGCAAGTTATTCTTCAATCCCATTGGTCTGTCATCCCCTTGGGTTTGGAACCAACGAGTCGAGGGTGACTTGAGCCACGGTGGGCGTTTCACCCCGTTTTTACCCTTCAACAGCTCGAGACTAGACTTATCCCGGAAAATTCACCACCGGGGTACTCAAGAGGTGCAATATCAAATCGCGTTTTTGCACCGAAAATTAGAATAATCCGATAATTCGTTACTGTTACCACCAGAAACCGAGTGAGAAACAATTTCTCAAGGGGTTTTTACCCTCAATTTGAATATCTGAATAATCGCTATCACGTTTGGGCGTTACCGAAAAAACCGGAGATTTTGCCTGTTGATGACATCTTTCCCGCGCGTTTCAATTTTTTTAAGACACCAAAAACAATTCGACAGGGGAATTACTCGAGAAATTTCAAAATATCAGAATTTTTTCGCTAAAGAAAATGTGCAAATTTTCAGATATTCCATTTCGATTTTAGAATATATCAGAGACCCCTTGATATATCGCCTTTCCCACGCAATAAAAATGGAAAAATCTCCCACGGAATATTTGAAATGACCCATATGTGAAGAATTCATTGAATATCCCATGAAATATAATTCACCTCGCGTATGACAGTAGCATAGCACGCGCTGTGACAGTCCTTCTGGCATTTACAGTTGATTTCCTGGCACAAACTAGAGAATCTAAAGGAGTTGTCGATAGTGGGGGCAATTCACCGTGCGCTTTCCTTCTTTCATTTTCATCTGTCTTCATTCCTCCTTTTTATTTAACCCAGGGGCCACTGTACTCTTTTTTAAAAACCCGCCACGAGTGTATTATTGTCATTCCAGGGGGCGCGAACCGCTTCAACGACACGTTCGCGATATCCGGTGAAGCTACGTGACGTCATAACACGCTGTGTGGCGTTTCCGTAATAAAAAAATTATCAAATACCTCAAATTTAACGATTTTATGTTTTTTTAATATTTTTTATGACAAAAAAATAGGCTGACCATTGGAACTTTCAAAAAAATATTCACCAATTGCTTAAATTATCATTTTATCACCTTTTTCAATGTCTTTATTAAAAAATCGTTTTTTAATATTCTGGTTGTTGAAAAATAAATTTTTCGAATGTTTATTTCCCTTTAAACTCGATGTTTTGACGTGATATTTTTTTTTTGTTAACACGTGCGTCTGTGTTCTGTATTTCATTCGACAAAAATCTATTAGTCAATATTTTAATTTCTTCCGTGAATTTCTGGTGATTCACATACATCAGGATTTCAAGATATAAACAAGAACGTTGATAAATCAATTCCGCAAACGTAAATATAGACAAGTAGGGATACGTCGACTTATTCCCTTTTTCATACCGTAAATAAAGTCTGGGGTGAACACTCGAGGCGCAGGAATTTCAACAAAAACCCAAAACATTGCGTTTAACACGTGGCGTCGTCACATGATACACCGTTAAAAAATTTTGACTGCTTTTTTCGAGATTTGGACACGATAAATTATTCAAGTAACAATGACACTGAAATTGCGGGGAATTTCGTCCTTGGAAGATTAATTTTCCGATAAATTTATCAATTCTTTAATAATCTTTTCGTTTAAGAAGTTCGTCGATTTTTATTTACACGATTCTATCATTGGGAATGAGGAATTCCAAAGTTATTGGTACGACAATTAGGTATTCAGCATGGGTGTCTAGTGATGTTGTCAATCGGTGTCATACTTTTTCGTCAAACCCTTTCATAGGTTTAATGCTGGTTATACACGTGAGCCTTTGATCCACCGACTTAACGTACTTCCGCCTTTGTCGAAGAATTTACGACCGAACTTTTCGGATCCGATGTCTGAAATTCGGCAGCCAAAGTTCAACATCTAATTGTTATAAATCCGCATGAAGTATTTATCTAAATACATCGATTACTGTAACCTAAAAAATATTTCCAGAAATTGTTATACAATTTAATAACTTTGCTTATTCACTCGTGCTGTTAACAGCTCGTTGATAAAATGCAATAAATAGTTGAACTTGAAGAAAAACTTGCTCACGAGCTGTCATGTTTCTCGGCTAATACAACCTGCCTCGAACAACCGACCAACTAAACCTGAAAATACTAATGAAAAGAGCCTAGAAAATACAGAAGAGAGAAACTGTCTGGCAGGCGGAACGGATGCGCAACACGAAATGAAATAATAATTCACGTAATTACAATATGTTAAGCCCCAGGAGCGTATCTATCCTCGGAGATAGAGAGATGATTGTTAAAAACAAAATAAGAAGTAAAAAGTCGTTTAACTCGGGTTGAAAAAGCAAAAATCAATGAATACACACCCACGAGTTGGCCGGCTGTATTAACGACTGGTGAGTCCCATTAAGCTGTACGCGGGCTATTATATACCTAATGCATTATGGGCCTCAATGATAAAGAAAAACGGCCCGATGTATTGTGCCCAAGCGCTTGCTCCGACACGTCAAATATGTGTGCACTGAGATCCATGATGCTGTGTGGGTGTGTTTGCCTGCCCGGCGGACCACATTCCTACGGACCTGGACCCCAAGCCCCCCTAAACCCCCCTATCCACCTACTTGCCACTCATCTCCCCATTTCCCCCTCCTTTCACCCCCACCCCCTAAAACACATCCTTTTCCAATTACCCAAATTTTTCCGCCATTGGCTAATTAGCTGAATTAATTTTTTCAATTAATGAACAATTGAAATTTAAAATAATTGATCATTGAAAAATTCGCAGTAGCCTTATTCGCACGCTGGAAAATATATATGGATTTGTCAATGTTAATTGTAAATTAATTTGAGAATTCGAGAGAATATATTTAAAAGTGGAGGGTGAGGGGTGAATTATTGCCATTAAACGTGAGAAACCATCAGGTGTTCTTGATGAATAGGGGAGGGTGGGCTACCTGGGGATATTCCGTAAAAAACGGGATTCGTCATAAATGATTTTTCCCAACCCCTTTCGCTGTGGAAGAGGCACCCGGAGTGCCTCAGGATCCCGTTATAGTCAAAAGGGTGTCCCGTTTTTTTAAGGGCTTCTTACCTAATAGTTTTCTCACACTGGGAATATCCCATATGCGCAGTTGTCGAAACCCTTTTTTTTAGACAAAAAAGATGAAGGTTAAAAAAAAATTGGTAAACAGGAGGAATGGGGACGACCTGGAGTACCTCAGGGTCCTGGGAAGTTCGTGAATATCACTAGAACCGAATTTTTTTTTTGTATGAAAAGGAAAAATTGCAATATAAAAATTCAGCCTAAAAAAAATCGGAGAATCAATCAAATTGATTGACTTACCCTTTTTTTTAATTGGAAGGTTCAAGAATTAATTTTCACAGTTAAGATTTTTGTGATTGCATTTTGTAAAAGGAAAATTGGCATTTTTTTTTGGAAACAAATTGAGATTTATCGTAATACGATATTTTAGATGGGTATGGGCCCAGGACGAATCCACTAATCTGACCTATTTAACCTCACCCGATGACTAAAAACCCCGGATACCTTTTTCAACCCTTTACCTAACGGAATCAAAACGTTTTTTCCCACATTATATATTTAGCCCGGAATTCCCATAAAGAGGAGAGGTGAAAAATAAAGGGAAGTGCAGACCCAAGGGCACATCCTGCCAATGGAGCCCCAGGGTGTGGAAAAAATCATATCCACCGAATTCAAATTGAGAAAAAAAATCATAAAATAATATTCCGAATGCCCCGAAGGAACCAGACGAAGGGAAAAAACTTTCTCGATATAACTCGAGAATCTTTTACATAAAAAAATCTCCAAACAATTTATTTAAGTCTCGAAATTTCGAGTTTTCTAACGTTGAGAAATTTTTTCCCTCCGCAGCTGGCACCGGAAGATGAAATAATGAAACCGACTGTCGGATTCACCCGGAAAAAGGGGTGACAAACCCTTTCCATGTTTTTTAAAAAGCAAATGGACACCTCCGAGTCCAAAAATATACGTAACACATTTTCCAAGTTTTCTCTCCTTTTTTTACAAAGAGAATTTTTTTTCTGTTTTCAGGGTGATGAGACTGGGGAGACTGGACCATATGGCGTGCGGTGAGTCGTTGAGAAATATTCATATTCCATACTGGAAATGGTTCTAAAATTAATTCAGGGAGTCGGCGGTTCGGTATCTGTTCACATTATTTCCTTCGTGATCGTGAGTTTACCGCAATTTTCTGGTTCATCCAATTTTTTTTGGGGAGTCTAGGGTTGTCCAATGCCCTTTCGAGGGTTGTTCCAGAACCAGATATCCCTCGGACATCAGTGGTTGCTTCGTACGCATGTCTCGTGCACTCGCAGGTCGCGAATTCTTCCATGCCAACTTATGTTGACAATAATTTCCACAGCATTCAATTTTTATAACTTTTAAATGACCTAAAAAAATACTATCGAATTATCGAGCTGAAAATAATGAATTATTTGAGTAGAAGCTGCTCTTCTTCACTTTATCCGCGATTTTTCTGAATCCAGTGAAACATTACATTAATATCACTGACTACGGACTCTGAAATTAATCCCATCAATACATACATTAACATCAAGCTGTGGGAACGTTGGAAATTCAACAATCCACAACGGAAATTCAAGAACCCGAGACAATCGGGTGAGAGTGTCGTCTGGTTCGTGATCGAATTATCGGAATCCCTCGCATTCCACCGATCGTATTCGCGAGTCGACTCTCAAGACCATTGACCGGTTAAATGAACGAATCCAAAATAAATTAACCAAAACCGCTGGTTAAAAGCTCCCGATAAAAAAAATCCATAAAAATTGAAAATCGAAAAATTCTCCCAATCCACTCCTACTAGTTGCTGGGCATATGTGGATGCCGAAGGGATCAAGGAAATCTCGTCAAAGGACATTTTTCCAGGGAAACACAATTTTCCCCCAAAAAATGTCCCACGAAAATTTCCCTGAAACCGCAGTAATTCCCTATGAACCACCCAAAATAATTTTTTCCCAATGTAGAAAAATCCTTGACCGAAATTGATAACTGAAATATCGATAAAGCCCAAAATTGATTCACCCACCGCCAACACCACCCTCTCCACCCTGGGCGGTACCAGGGCGTCTCCCCCTCCCCTTCCTTCCCCACCAAAACCGCCGAACCTCTACCTTCCACCGGTAGAGGCTCCCCTCTCACCCAAAACTCGTGAACATTTCAGTCGTCTCGCACCGCTCGAGTCACGCGTGTCAGACTTATCCCCAACCACTCATACACGGGCCAATTACCACCCCCACCCCCATCGAGATAAAGAAAAAAAAATGACGGGGAAGAAAAAAATAAACGGAGCCACAGCAAAAAAAAATTGAGTCATCCAAATAGTCGCGGGCTCGGGATTCGAAAACACGCAGCAAAATTTGAATTCAAATCCCAATGATTTGAAGGGAAATTGTTTTTGACATGTTCCCCCTCTCTGGGTGTACTGTACCCCCACTCGGTTAATTCTCTCCGCCCCCACCAGTGGTGGTGAAAAAAAAAAAACGCCCGTTTAAACTCACTCATTTGCCCCTTCCCTCCCTGACCCTTGGGAGGCGCGCGCTGGCACTTGGCGCTGGTTTTTCGTCGGCCAGTGGTGGCCCCACGGTGGTATCGTGCACCCCCGATACACGCGAGGTCTATTCCGTGTGGACTATTCACCGCGTGCTCCGTTAAAATATTTTACCGTAGAAAATAACAATTTTTTTCCCGGCGACCAGAGACTATTTTCGGTCGGGAAATAGTCCAGTGATGATTGGCATGAAGAAGTGGATTAAACGTGTGATTTATTGATAATGAGTGAATCCAGGATTTTTAGTATCGATTGATAATTCATTGTTGATTAATTACTGTGGTACTAGTGAGTCGGGATTTTTTGTTGTTTTGTGAAGATTTTGGTTATTTCTTTGATTTTTATTTTGGATTGAGTGGAAAATGATCGGATAACTTGGGAATTATTTGGTGTGATTTTGTGGTTTTTGGGGGGTGTGCAGCCGGTTTTTGGTGGTGATACTACAGTGATGGTGACGGCCTAGTGATTGACAGGACAACGGGAATTACTCGTTAATGGATACAAGGTAATTACATCCTTGGTCATTGGAATTTATTATTTCGATCGGTTTTTTGGTTCTCGATACAGAAAAAAAATTCAATAAAAATGATGTGAGAGGGTTGCCAATTGAGGGTGAAGTGTCCAGTGAAAAAGTTCCCCAATATTTTACCTCACGAATTACGAAACTCTCACGTAATTTTTGCTGAATTTTTATCTCCGTGTGTGGAAAATAGCGGATTAGGATTGCATTTGCAGACGGAATTATTGCGCGGAGGAAATGTCGAGGAAAATTCTTGTGCCGGAGAAAGCGCGCAATTTACCGATTATGGAAAATTTGAGTGCTGTTGAGGATACGTTATACATGTCTGAAAATATTCGATATTTATAACTTATCAACAGAGCGATCGAGCGTCGAAAAATATTTATAAGAAAATTGAAGGAAATTATTCAATCTTCTTTATAATTCAATTCAAATTTCTGGCGGTGACGTCTTTCTGTCAACTATCGATGCGAACAGAGAGAAATGAAGTCATAGTTAAATGGAGTTGTCAGCGTTAAAATTTTTCCAAGTTCTCTTTTAAGAAAATTAATCCGTGAGTCTGAATATAATTTCTATCGAAATCCGATGAAAATTGAATAATCAGGGACTTGAATATAATTCCGAGTAAAATTATCGGTATCGGAAGTACCGATGATTGAGAAGTATTGAATATTTATTGGCAATTGGGGAAAATTGATTGGAGAGAGGACTGAGAAAATTCCGTGAGGGAAAGAATTCTTCTTTCGTTTGAATTGTTTACTCCTGTGGTTTCAATTGAATTCAATTGAATTCAATTCAATTACATGCAAATGAATGTTAAATATCATTTGAATAACATTTACAAGTGGTTAGCTCATCTATTCCGAGGAGGGAATGAATTACGGAGTTATAATAGCCGAGCATCTCTATCCCCCGAGGATTTATCCATGGAAAGTCATTTTGGAATAAAATCATTCTATTTTTTTAATCCTTTTTGGTCATGCTGACAAAATACTGGAAATGTCGGGTTAATTATCCGCTCCGGAAACAATCAGAACTAATCACCTTCGGAAACGGAGCTGGACTGTCGTTGGAATGGCATTTACAATCATTAACATTATCGACTCAAATTTATTCTGAAATTACCTCTAGATTTTAGAAAATTCTGGGGAAAAAAATCGTAAAGAACTTGTACTTTCTCTCATTCTTTCTCTTTCACAAAAAAGTAATTTCCATTGGAGAAAAATGAAATGGTATTATAACTACGTAAATTGTAACCGTTGGAAATAGAAATTTAATGGACAGTTGTTAGAATTTAAAATAAATAGTCATATTAATATTATTATTCCAATCAATTTCATTCAATTCAATTCTAAAATTCGGAAATTTATTCTGCGCTCTTCGTTTTGCTCTTTTGAAAATGACCAGTCGTCCGTGAAATTTTCATTTAACAGTAAATGATTTTCCATCGTGGATTCATTAAATGGAAAAAAAATTGAATAAAATAAAATGCCTCATGAAACAATTGCGGAGGTGCATAGGTGGTCGCATTTCATGCGGCGGCTGGCATCGGCTTCCCTTTAAAGAGCCTCCAGCCTCTTGTTTTTCGTTGGCTCTTTGAAAATTATGATTGTTTGTCCCTGAGATTTACAACCCACCGCTATCTCCCAGAGAGGAAATACGCGATAATAAAAAAATACAATTTTCGGGAGGAGGGAAGAAAAAAAATTGAGAGTGGGGTTTAACTGAGATTAAAGAAATCGGAGAATTTACGAGAAAATTTTTCACCCCGAGGAGTTGGTGAATCCAATCTTCCTCGGTATCTTGTTCCTTCCTCATTTTTTTTTTCCCCTTATTTTCTCAGGCGGTGGGGGGGAACTTTCGCACTTAATCCAATAAACTGTGGTAACTGTGTTTGCCTTGACAAATCTCAGTGAATTGCTAACTTCTGTTTGAAAGATGCCGCGGATAACTCGAATTGACGACGAAAATTCTGTAAAAAATCCCACGAAAAGAGAGAAAAATTTAATTGCAAAAATGAAATTGAAAATGAATTCCCGGGGATACTAAAAAGCAAATTGAAAAATATTTGTGCAATAGCTTCGAAAAACTCTATTTAGTACTTTCGCATTGTTTTTACGACGCATTCTCCATTTTTTATTGTTTCCCATGTGCACACACACATCTCGGTCTCCTTACCTCTCTCTCCTCCCTTCTCTGCCGCCAACACCAAAGACATAATTTTTTTATTTCCCAAAAGAAACAATAACAACCGTAAAAGTGCGAGAGAGTGAGATAATCCACCACTGACATACGACTTCTTACGGGAATATGAAGGGTAGAGTCAGTGTGAAAAAAAAATCCCATAAAGTAGTGGAAAAGAGAGAGGAGAAAAATCCATCCCCATTGCCCAGGGCTTTTGAACAGAGGCAGGAATATCCGTAAATCCCAGGGAGAGACGAAAAATGGAACAAATCAGTTGCCGAAAACAGAGAAAAGAAAAAGTGAGGGGCGAAGAAAGGCAGATGTAAAGAAAGAGAGAGAATATCGTCGGAATTCCTCTTATGACGAACCACGCGTGATTTTTCTATTTATTTTTATTTATTTTCCTTTATTTCATCTCCCACCCCCTCCTCTTTCTTTCTCATTCGAGCCAGGGAGTTCTCGAATGTCTGGAGAGAGACAAGAGTCATTATGAGAGGGGGCCCTAAACTCAAGCCTTGGAAAGAGGTTTTCATGCTTTATTACACACTCCCGTGTTTTATTTATCCTCATTTACATTCCGTGTGTATTTAAAATTATTTATTCCCCCCGTAAGAGATTTTAGAATCGTAAACAATTTTCTTAACCTCGGAAAAAAAGATATTTCTCACTGTTTCCATTTTTTTGCCTCTTGTTATTACAAAAACATGGAAAATACGAGAGATACAGCCGAGTGATGGACGACGTACACATGTGAGCGCTCCCCCCCCTCTTCTCGCCACATAAATACCTCAAAAAATATCTCAAACGTGACATTAGCATGAAAACAGGCTGTCTCCACTCAATCTTGCCACACTCTAGATCATCGTAAAACTCTAGTTTATCAATTTCCACCCCCTCCTCACGAGCAACACTTGAAATAAATTTCGAGGTGGTGAAACAGTCGCCATTTTGATCGGCGAGTATCACCTGCCCAATGGGGCTCCCTCTTGCCACAATTTTTCTCCTTTTGTTTCTTTTTTCTCTCTCGCCTCAGCACTCAATTTAAATCAGTGACTCTGCTCCTTCGGCTTCTCTTTAATTTTCTTGTCTGTGTGCAGTAACCCTTGATGGCAAAAAAAGAGGGCCTTAGGCAACTCTTTTTTCATGCCCCCACTACCGTCCTAGTGGTGACCAAAAAAAAAAAGGAAATGAAAGAAAATGACCGAGCTATGGATAACGACCGGTTATTAAACCCGAGATAATTATCGATTTTAATTATCGAGTTGTGACCGGCCATTTTGGATTTAATGCCTTCTAGAAATCCGGCTTTAACCTACAAAAGGGATTTTTTTTGAGGTTAGGTCGATTTTTTGCTCGGAATTTTCTCTTTTATTCGCCAGTCAAATAAATTCCGGAAGTTCGTTAGTAAAATTCAGGCGTAAGGAAATCGTGAGAGTTAATTGCAGCATTAACCGGGATATTAGACGAGGATTCAATGATTTTTCGAGGTTAATGCGTTAATTAGTCGGTCATTAGACCTATTACTGTTGGAATCAATTCTTTCATCCGCATTTCCCGTTATTATTTAAAGTTCGGATATTCATGAGTGCAAACGCATTTATTCAGACAATCCCACTTAGATCTCATAAATCTATTGATAAATGATCAAATGATATTTCCGATTTCATCAGAAACATGTTCTCCTCTTTCCGCGCATAACAGTGATTCAAATTCAATCAATCAATAGAAAAAAAAATTCATTCCCATTTTCTTCAGTTATTTCTGTAATATTTTTATCTTTCTGTAGATTTATCACCGCGCGATTTAAAAAATTGGGGAAAAGTTGTTTGAAATATTTCTATTATTCCTAAATAATAAAGGCAGTCAGATAATGGACATCACTCACGAAAAAAAAAAATGGCGAACTGGTTCAGAATTATTCGTTCAGTATTTTAATGAATAGGAAAACGTATTCAGTGACAACTGGGTTTGGTTTATAACGAGGCAAGTATCCAGTTCGTTATCCCGGGACCGCTCGGACACCAGATACATGATCGTATATAGTTATATGGATTACAATCTACCTAGTTGGTTAACAATAAAAACATCTGGTTTTTTTTTTCGCTGGGTGGGGGGTACACCTAGAAGTCATATTGGAATACAACCTACGGGTCTCTCAATGCAGAGGCTTTTGGCACGCGACGCCTGTCTTTTTCTTTTTCAAAGTTGTCTAGTTTACCCCTCCCTCCCCCCTCTCGAGGTCTTTTTACCTGTTTTTGCCTATTCTAGGCTGGATACAACATTGGTTTTATATTGTTATGTACCGCTAGGTTGGGCCGAGTTATGGATAATGCGTGGGTGGTGTTGGGATTGGAATGAAGTGGAGAAATAGAGTGGTTTAAAAATCGTAGATAATAGACGGAAGAAACAGCTACTGGGGACAGCTGGACTAGTGGCTGGAATGTGGGTTTGGTTGAGGTGACGGTGGGCCTTCGTCTGGGTAATTACGAGGTTATGTCATGGGGTGTGAAATGACTCCTTTCAGTCCCACCTTTTTTTTTTCACCCGTTATTTATCGGTGTTTTCTCCGTTATCCTGCGTTATTTGATTGATAAATTTTTCCATGTTTTCACCATTAGTATTAATCCAGGAATTACGCGATCTCACGGTTATTTTAGTATTGATAACTCCCAGCCATCATCGAGTCATCAACGATGACTGATGCATCATTTGTTGCGGACGATGCGCTGGACCCCTTGGTCTTAACCTCTGTATCTAGCCAAGTAGTAATAAATATGTCACTGCTACCACCACCCGGTGTT